TAATGAAGTGTAAACTTTAAAAACATGGCTATGTGTAATTTCCTCTTATTTATATCTCATGACGTGATATATAATTTTATTATTGATTTTAACAACAATTAAAATAATCAATGATCTCAATTGACAGACGCCCTCTATAGGTGGGGCGCCACATCGACCCCTGTTTGAACAAGGTCTATGTGGCCATGTTCATCTAGCATGGTCCTGTAAACAATGGGTGTACAACTACTTTAATTCGAGGCCCAAATGAGTAGACGCAATCTCATCTATCTTTCTAATTTCTTTCTTTCCCTTTTTTTGAAATTTTATTAGAAAAATAGTTTATTTAGGACCTGCTCGGGAGTTTTTTCATCAGTTTTGGCACTTTTTGGGCGGCTCCTTGATGTTTATTAATTTTTCATAGCACTGATTTTAGGTGTAGGGGCGTATTTCTCAAACCTAAATTGGTGATTTTTTGTTGTTCTTCGAATTTTATTCCATTATTGCCCTATATAAAATATTTATTTCCAATCCACCTTAAATAAAAATTACTATAAGTAAAAATACTCCTAATAATTTTAGAGTTCACCTATATAAAATATAAACGCTACTTACACGTAAAAATTCACTTATATGTAAAGAATTATTTATAAGTATAAAATTAACATATAATTGAAATTACTTATAAGTAAAAAATCACTTATAAGTAAAATTTTAATTATAGATAAATATTTTACTTTTAAGTTAAAAATTAACTTATATATAAAAAAACTTGTAAGTAAAATATCACTTATGAGTAATACAAGAAATTATAAATTGGAAATTTTATTTAAGACATGTATATAATTTTATTCTTCTAAAAAAACATTAAAAAATATAGGATAATAAATTTTCAAACACTGATTTGGCTATTTTAAAAAATAATGTAAAAATCATTCAAAACTTAATCCTCATAAACGTCCAAAATCGATAATTTAAAAACTCCCCATTAATCGATAACCAGAAACTCTCGAATTGGAGGTTTGAAAGGCGGAGTGATTACTTTTGATTTCAATAAAACAATGTGTTGATAAAATAAAATCAAGAATTACAAGGAATATTTTTAATAAAGATGATACAGGTAATGTTTTACAATCTTGCTACATGTACATCATATTTGACATCATTATTTACATTGTGCCACGGGCAACACACCATTGGACATTAAACAAAAAAAAAAAAACTTTTTTCCGCATGTCATCCTCAATCGAAGGAAAAAGTTGTATAGGTAGTGTTATGAATGTTTTATTGTTCAAGTCAAACAAAATGTATTGAGGCACGAGACACGTGTATTCTTATATTTATAAACACTTTATCAAACACACCCTAAGAATAGGCCTCTAGGTTTTGACTCAACCAAACTCAAGTTTTTATAAATTTGTTCAGAATATTGACTTCATAGACACAACTGAACTCATTTTACACCTCTACATAACCAATTAAAAGCAATAACATGTTATTCATATTTGAATGTTCACATTTTTGTCACTTAATGCATGCAAGTAGTGAAGGAAAATCGTTGACTGGTCACTGAGTTGTTGAATAAGGATTATGAAGTTAAGAATTAGTCAGTCCATATGTTTATATAGGTGAAAATTATGGATGATTAATCAAACATTAGCTTTATTGACATTTTCAACCGATAAACTTTGGTATTACAATTGCACCGATTGAATTCTCTTCGGGCTCGATCACACTTAGTTATGTTGGCTCGACCAAGCCAACTAAGGTTAGAGTGAAAACCTCATAACCAACTCGCTTTGGCAAAGTTTAACGCTTCGGCCTTGGCTGATAGGTCACTTTTCAAAATTCAGCATCTGAGTTAATTCACGTCACTTGTTTCATGGAATCACTAGTTTCCATTTGTAAGACAAATTTTACCGAACCACAAAATAACTATCTAAAAAATTGAAAATCGGAGAGCTCAATTCTTATAACAACATCAATCTTTGTTATGAGGGTAACCATTGAAATTAACAAATGTGAAAATTGTATACATCAACACATGCTAAATCCCTTGAAACACGGTCTTACAAATTGATGAAACTTGTCTTAGTCACATTTGACGAACACTAAACAAGCAAAAATTATGTCGCTTTGAGCCTTAGTTTCTACTTCATCTCTGTATGCCTTAAGCTCTTCGAGAGAAGAATGAATATGCACGAAGATAAAATAATTTCCAAATTTTTTGAAACTACAGGTAAACATGGAGTGCAGCTACTATGGGAGCAGCAAGGCTTAGAACTTCGAACAAGGATTTGTTTTAACTATTTGTGGGCACAAATCCGTAGTCCAAAAGTCATCACATTTTCGAGATTTCAAGAAAGAGATTCGGGTGATCTTCAAATATAATTAGCCCTTGTTTGATCCCAATTTTTTCCAAAATACATTTTTCTGTCTCTTCTTTTTAACAACACATTTTTCAATAAAATAATATTATATGTAAACCCAAAACTTTTTCTTATTTTTTAACCACACATTTTTCATCAATCTACTATTTCAAAATACATTCTACAACAAAAATGGGGCTCAAACATGCCCTTAGTATCAAAACGAATTACATTTTGACAATCCACAGTCGATCAAAAACCTACAAAAGTGTCCTTTGTTTTTTCATGCACTATCATATTGAACCACTGGCCCATCTAAAAGTTTAATTCGTTAAACAAGAGATATACTTGTTAATTTAAAAATAGTCTTCAACAATATCATGTATGAAAATCACTCAAAAGTAATGCCCATATCAGCGTAACACTGTAAATAAAAGATGCACAAATGGGTAAATAAATTAAGCTACTTTTTATCTAACATTAGAAGTCAAGGTTGCTTATGACATTAAGCCACTGTTTGAACCATATTTTCATTTTCATTTTCATTCTCATTCTACTTATTTTCAACCACACATTCTTCAATAAAATAATATTTTTCAACACATCAATAAGTTTTCCTTCATTTTCAACCACATATTCACCATTACATCACAAAAAATGCATTCTTTCCATTTTAATGTGCATCAAACACACTCTGAGTGCTTGTTTGGAGGATATTTTGGTTTCATTTTTAGAAAAATTTGGACCATTGCACAGTGAAATCACAACCCATTTCGCATGCTTCTAACACGGAAGAGACCGCGGTTGAAAATAGAGATATTTCCTTTTTCCCTTTATTATATTTTTACCCCCATCAATATTTCAACCACCCAAATGACTATGCTTAA